GTGCCAGGGATGGGTTTCATCTTGGGCAATAGACCTTAAGTCTAATCAGAAAGTGGTTGATTACATGCCATTCATGCCACTATTGTACAAATGGGCATGTCTTGCCACATTTGCTGTCACTGTAGCTCTCAGAGGTCACAGATAGGTAAGACTGATGATACTCTAGTCATCAGCGTTCTTCCCAACAGGGTGGACCCCAGTCTCCAAATGCCCCTAAATTCAGAATCCCAGAGGCTAGCACCAAGTGAGAGATTTGGCTCATGATTTTTTTTTTTCTTTGCCAGTCTGAACGTTTTCCTGGTACCGAGGGCACTCATGACAGCTTCAAGTGGACAGTATTTCCACTCTAAATTGTGGACGGAAATGACCTGAATAGATTCAGAAAGTTTTCTGTCCTTGAAAAATATCCCTTAGAGTCTCTTATATGAATCATGAATAGCATCCCTGGAAAGTCTTCTCCATTATGAGAAACTTCAAACTGTGAAGACTAATTAGGTGTGGGCGTTAATTGTTCCGAACTCATCAGAGAGAGAGGTGTTATAGAAATAAAGGTTTTAAGCTGTTTTTCTTTAAAGCTGAAAACAAGTCCTTTAATATTTATGATCTCTGTTGGTTGGCTTTTATATGTTGAGTGTATAATACGGTGTTATCACTCTGTCTTTATCACCTTCCCTCTGAATTTGGGTCACATCAAGTCAAATCAGAAGTTGGCTTCCACTTAAGGTACCCACTGTCCTGCTTGTGCCTGGGCAGTCTTCATCTCAGCACTGTTATCTCCTCCTCGGTCTGTCCTAATGACATTCAAGATAATAGGACATTGTTGCATATTTTTGATCCCTAGAAGCTCAGCCAATGAACCCTGAATTCTCTTTGGCTGTGCTCTCTTTTTGTCTCTACAGAGAAAACTTGAACTTGGCAGAAATAGGTTTGGATCATTTGAAGGGAAGACCCACTTTATGAGTAGGTTTTCAGTGCAGGGATTAGCTGAGAGGGAATGTTTTTCTGTCTCTGAGAACTCAAGGGTAGCAGAGCTGGCTCAAATGAACCTTTCATTTGCTTTGTGCTTTCACGCATTTTTATTGTTTGGAAGTGACTTAAGTGTGTTATATAATGAGCTATGTGACAGAAGTGTTCCATGAGAGAATGTTCTTCTGTAGGTTGGGAAATTTATTCCTTGTCAGTTCAGTTTTCTTAGTCTTTACTATTTGCACTCTCAAAGCCAACGGTGCAGAAGACTATTTAGAGCAATTGGGGAAACAGTATTCTCGGGATAAAGGTAGATTGTGATAACTGTTGTCTGCAGGAAAGAGAAGACGGTATTCAAGGTTTGAAACTTATGCATTCTTGACTGGTTGACTGTCGGTGATGAGGCCTCTTTTACTATTGTTCTTAAAGACCCAAGTTTAACCAAGGATGGACTCACATGGCTTGGGAGGGATGCCCTACACAGGATGGCTGTGGGTATGCTTATTAGAAATATGTATTAGCGCTTGTCTTTGTTTCTTTTACTGTTGCTGGGATAAAATACCCCGACAAAGGCAACATAAGGGAGAAAGGTTCATTGTGACTCCCAGTTCAAGGTACAGTTCATTAGGGCAGGGAAGCTAAGGCAACAGGAGCCTGAAGCAGTTGCTTGCATTGAACCCACACCCAAGAAGCAGAGAAAAATAAGTGAAAGCATGTTACTGCCCAGCTCCCTTTCTTCACATGTCTAAGTCCAGGGACCAGTGCTGCTTACAGAGGGCAAGTCTTCCCATTTCAATGACCATAAAGTAACTCTTCAGAGGCATGTCCAGGGGACCATTTCCCAGGTGATTCTAGATTTAGACAATTAATGTTAACCATTAGTGTTTTTAAAGGAAACATGGCCCATTATGTATATTTTGTACACATAGAATATTTATGTATTCTGTAAATTGCTGGATGGAAGTATCTGGTCCACTCCCCAACCCCCACCACAAGGTAAGGAGGTCAGCAAACTCTTAACAACACACACTTAAAAGCACAGGTTCCACTCTGTGTTGTCTGGTCAAGCCCAGTACCATTAGGTACTTTTCTTTCTTTTGGGATATGTCTGATATTACTTATAGGTTTATTTGCACAACTTTGCCAGTAGCTTTTTATAGATAGGAGGAGCAGGTCAGGACATGCTACATGGCTGAAGTGTACTCACTGCATAGAACAGGACAAGAACCACACTGTCATGTTCTTTCAAACATAAATGCTATCTCCAAATGGGCACAGAAGTTCATTTTTCCTTCCCAAGAAGGCATGAGCCGTGGAAACTAAATGTTGCTCTAATCCCCACAGCAGAGATGCTGTGCAGCCCTGAGAGTCTGTGCATGAAGGCTTGCTGCTCTAATAGTTTAAGAAAACATTCCTGGGACTCCTACTCATGGCTTATAGGGAGACAAAAATGGAACAGCCACCTTGGAAGGTGTTTAGGCAGTTTCTGCAAAGCTGAACACAGTCTTACCATGGGACTCAGCAATAATATTCCTAGGTACTGATAAAATAAAATGAAAATAATCCACACTCAAACCTTTATGTGACTATTCATGACAACTTTCTACTATCCAAAGACCTGGGCATAACTAAGATACATTTCAACATAATGGACAAATAAAATAGTATATTTATACAATGGAATATTATTCTTGGTGAAATGAACTTTCAAGCCATAAGAAGGCATGAAAGAAACTTTAAGCATATTCAAATGAAAGAAGTCAGCCTTAAAAGGTTCTTCTCTCCATGATTCCAACTCTTTGACAACCTAGAAAGCCAAAATTATACAAATAGTTAAAAAAAAATCAGTGGTTTCGGAGAGGGCAGGGGAAGGGATGGAGAGGTACAGGAGATTTTAGGATATGAAACTATTTCTCATGATTCTGTAATAGTGGCTGTCATGCATTTATTGAAACCACAGAACTTCACAGAATAAAGAGTTAAACTCAATATACATAAATAAAAAAAAAGCTCAGATGTCAGAGGACCAGTATAGAGTGAGACCAAGAGATGTGACAAGAGAATCTAGATGGATTGTAAATGTTTGAAATTAGTTTACTCGAGGGTCAGGGAAAAGTGCAGGTCAGGTAACTCTGTAATGAGAGGCACCTGCCAGATTAAAAGCAAAAGACGCCATAAATACTGCACTTGGATGGAAAGCCATTTCTTTGGAGTAGAGATTAGCTATCCAGATGTTGTCACACACTTATATTGGATTTGAACAATTAAGTGTATCCTCTGAAGAAGTTGAACACAACTTCAGTGTTGTCTGGACATGGCAGCACCCTCCCGAAGTGTACCCTATAAAGATGGGTGGGAGAAGTAATGGCAGCCGTGAGCTCCCCGGCAAACGCTACTTCATTTGCTGATGAAGGTCAACATCAACGGTTATAAATCATGCTGGTGGCAAGCATCCTTGACACATCACGAGAAGAGTCAGACCTCACCTCTGCGATATTTCTACCCCAGAGCATAGCCATGAGAAAAACATCAGATAAATAAGGCAGAAGCCTATGATATGCCTGGTCAATCCCAGGGTCCCTGAATGGGATCCTAGGACAGAGAGAGGGCACTGAGTGAAAAATCAAGGAAATAGACTGAATGAGTGACAGACTTCAGCTAAAAACAATGTATCAGTATTTGTCCCATGATCTTGGCAAACAGGCACTAATAATATTAATAACAGAGAAAGAAGGCCAAGTGTATGGCAGCACTGTCTTCTCAATCTTCCTGGAAATCTAAAACAGTTCTAAGGGATGGTTTCCTTTTTGAAAAAAAAATTGTTGCCCAACAAAATATATTTTTTAGTTTAATTAAATTTGGAGCATTTAGAATGAACCAGCAGGGCTAATTTACTCTCATGAATATTAATAACTTAGTTATTTGTATTTTGAGACACGGCCTCACTAGGAAGTCAAAGCTGGGCTTGAACTCATGGTCTCCTGCTTCAGGAGTGTGGAGATTACAGTCATCTGCCATCTGGCCAAGGACAGTGAATTTATCAGTCACTGTTGTTGTCACTGTGACAAAGTAACAGCTGAAGGGACCAAGGTTTATTTTGTCTGACACTCTCAGAGGATCCAGTCCCTCTTGGCAGGGAGGGCGTAGGAACATAGCTGAGTTCACATTACTGAGGGCCAGGGAACGGAGAAAGGGGACGAGCAGAAGCAAGTGCCTTTCTCCATTTCCTTCTTTTGCCCTATCTGGACCATTAGCCGAGGAGAGAGTGCTGCTCACATGCAGAGTGTTATTCCCCCATCACTCCATCCCTGCTGGAAAAGCCTTCATAGACAGAACCCATCTCCTAGGTGACTCTATCCAGTTGACAATGAGGATTAGCCATCTCAATAGGTAACTTAATAGCACTCCCACCTGCAAATAATACTGCATGGACGTCAGATGGTATTCTAGGCAGCAAGTTAAAGTGTCTAGAGTCTGCCTTTGTGTGTGGTTTATACATTTAGTTTATTTTGAAGCAATCACAATAAAGGCCTGCTCCTGGGATGCTGTGAAATCGAAGCTTAAGCCTTAGGAAGACACCAGGTGTGCCGGCTTTCTTTTGCACTGGGACTTCACTTTATCCCATTTTCATTTCACAACTAGAACCTAAAGTGGTGAGGGCTTAATAATTGCCCAAGAACATTCTGTTGCAGGGTCTTTATTTTGTGTTGAAAGAACAAGGTCTTTATTTTGTGTTGAAAGAATACAGACTGGTATTTTTTACACATAGACCACACAAATAGCCAGGGTACAGAGAAGCTTTGCAAACACTGTGCAGAACGTTTGCAGTAACTGCCACCAAGATGATGCCCTGAACCTACTCTGAACACTCTAGCCTTTCCATTCTTCTCTATGCCTTGGCGTCAGCATCTCTTGAACGAGACTATGCTGCTGCTCACAAATTGGTTCTTCGTGAACAGTACAATGATCGTGTTGTCTGCAGAGGCAGTCCTAGCTTACTCTCCATTCAGACCTGACTATCGTCGGATGAACAAAAAGACTCCTAATGCCGAAATCATCAGATTCAAGGTATGTGGGTTTCGTTGGGATTGAATAAAATAGGACATTCAGGATGTCATATTAAATGGCAGAGAATACCAGATTTCTACCAGAAAATGTGAAAATACTACAGAAGAGATAGCAAGCTATTCCTATGATTTTTTAAAGGATAGCCCATGACAAAATTGTGAATGTCAGAGTCACATGCAAGTTTTAAAGAGCATATTTTGTTATTTTACAAAATTGGTATTTATATTGGCTCAAAACAAACAAACAAACAAACAAACAAAGCTGAGGTTAGTCAGACTGCTATGGCAGGTACAGTGGAGCAAATTAAACTCATCCACCATAGTTAAGGCTGAAAACATTCATTTGAGAGAATTTGGGGTATTGCAAATTTTATGGTCCCTCCCTGTATGATGGTTTTGCCCTTGAAACTTACGACAGGATACATCTAGTAGTCTCGGCATAATAAGGTCATTGCATTCATTTGTGTAAAATAAAACCAGAGCCCTGTATCTTACTGATTAACACATGGTATGAAGCTAAGGATTAATACTTGTAGTTATGAAATATGTTTAATAATTTAGTTATTTTAATAGAGCGAGCTAGAGCCCAGTGTTGAAGCTGCTTTCTGTTCCTCAGTGCACCCCCACTCAGGTCAGAATCGACAGAACCCATCCTTGGCCCAAGCAAAGGGAAAAAACCAGAAGCAATAGAAATCTTCTAGTGTGAAACCCCTGGGTTGGTGGAATATGTGAGTTTTAGAGGGAAATGGTGCTGGTTGAGACTTGTTTATTTCTCTGGGAAGTTGTGGCACGTAACCAACGAGGATGGCCGCTGAACTGTGGATGTGTATGCCAGAATACCAGGATAGGACTAAAGGAAAAGCCTGCGGGAGGAAGAGGGATTTGGGGGGGCCAACTTCTTAGTACTTCCACCCCACCTCACCCTCAGACCCATCTGCAAGGGCCTTCTCCCTGTGGGAGCTAGCAGAGGTTAGACACAGGAGTCATCTAGCTGCCAATCAACCATATTCTAGTTTCAACAAGTGTCTGCAGTCACAGCCTGTTGTGGGGTACTGGACACCCAGCACCATCAGAACCTGCAGGTGACAACCCAGAATGGAAAGAGAAGGCCATTATTCTGATGCTGTTGTCTCTGCAGGGCATTTTGAGGAATTCCCAATGAAGGACCCACCTTCGTAGGAAAGCACCTCTGTCTGAGAAGTTGCCCACAGCATTCCTGCAACTGTTGTCACCATAAAAACATGGACAAGAAGCAGCTCTACCCACCTCTGTACTGTGGGATGGAAGGTATTTGATGAAGCTGTTAGGACACAGTTGCTTAGAAACACAGAATCAAAATGGCTGAGCGAGACTAACGTTCTTCTTCATTATGCATAATGTGTGCAATGGATGCCTCAGCCCTTATCCATGGCACAGCCAATCTTAACATGGGATCAGCTTGAGGTAAGATAAAAATCCGTTTTTCCTGAGAAGTAATGAGTCTTTGGTCCCATCCCAGTTCTATTACAGTTTCTCCATTGACTCCTCCAGAGAACCATGGGCTGAGGAAGCCACAGAGCTTGTCTGTGAATAGCTTCCATGGGATGTTCCAAGGATCAGACTGTGCCAATTAATACTGAACTAATGAAGACGTGAGAACTTCCTGTTTAAGTGAAGAACTGGGGGAGTGGCTTCATAGGGGCTAAGCTGCAGCCAGCATTCATGCCTGGAAAATGGCCATAGGCTTTTATGATTTAAACCCTGGGCCCAGCATCTATGTGTATAGTCAACATAGAATTTGACTTAAATGGAGAATAGTCTTAAGTTGCTTAACTTTTATTCTTTAATCAAGTTTTATTGCTGCTTCATGCTTTATTTATTTATTTATTTATTTATTTATTATTTATTTATTTGTTCATGCATATGTGTATGTGTGGGTGTGGTCCCCTGTGTGCTCCTGTGTGGAACCTGGAAGTAGATGTTGGATGTTTTCCTCTATCACTCCCCACACCTTATCTTCTGAGATAGAACCATTGACTCTGAGCTCATCACCTTGATGAGGCTGGCTGCTAGTGAGCTCCAGTGCTGAGGGATGTCTTTTTGTTTGCTATGAATATATGTTGTTCCCATTGGTTAGTAAATAAGCTTCTTTGGCCTATGGCAAGACAGATTAGAGGCAGACAGGAAGTCCAAGGAGAGAGACAGGAGAGAGAAAGGCGGAGTGGGGGAGACACCAGACTGCCATCCCAGGAGCAACATGTCATGGGATGCAGGTGAAGCCATGGAACATGTGGCGATACATAGATTAATAGTTATGGGTTGAGTTTAAACTATAAGAGCTAACTAGCAAGAGGCCTGCCCTAGGCCATAAAGTTGATAATTAATATTAAGCCTCTGAATGATTACTTTATAAGCTGCCGAGGGACTGCGGGCTGGGCAGGACCTGAGAAAACTTACCCTGGAGGAAATTTATGGCTACACTCCAGGATTTACCATTCTTCACCCTGTCAGTGCTGGGATTGCAGATGGGAGCTGCCATACTCAGTGTTTACATGGGTGCTGGGAATCCCAACCAGGCCTGTGCTTGCCAGCAAGCACTCTACCACACTCTACCACTGAGCCATCTCTCTGGCCATGTTTTGTTTTTCAAAACAGATGTAGTTACTGACTAGTTTTGGACCATGTCATTTCTAGATGAAATCAGAAACCAGTTGGAGATCTTTTACAACAGAGTAAGGATAAGTGATGTGTAGCTGAAGTTTTCCTGGTCCTGCCCAGCTCCCACAGCCCTATGGCCACTTGGACCTAAGTAAACACACAGAGGCTTATATTAATTAAAACTGCTCGGCCATTAGCTCAGACTAACTATTGACTAGCTCTTACACTTAAATCAACCCACAATTCTTATTTATGTTTAGCTATGTGGCTGGTTACCTTTTCTCAGTTCTGCCTTGTCATCTTGCTTCTTCTGTGTCTGCCTGGCAACTCCTGACTCAGACTTCCTGTTCCCAGAATTCTCTTCTCTGCTTGTCCCGCCTATACTTTCTGCCTGGCTACTGGCCAGTCAGCATTTCATTTATTAACCAATCAGAGCAACACATTCACTACATACAGAGCGATATCCACAGCACTTCCCCTTTTCTTTCTTTCTTTTTTTTAAAGGAAGGTTTTAACTTAGTAAAATTACATATAACAAAACAATTATCAAGTAAGAATTACAGATACAATATCTAGTCTATTTATAATATCTAGTCTATTTGTATTTGGCAAAATTAAAGAATATATCCTATATTTGTGAGTCTAAAGTCTTATATCTTATCTTTTATCATAAAGAAAATTATAACTAGTCTAGTCTTCAACTACATCAAAGACCTCAGAAGGATATAATATTACTTAAATAAACAGGAAGTGCATTATAAGCAACTTTCAAAAATCTAGAATGACAGAGACAACTGGCTACCTGGACAGTCATCCAAAGCTCCTTTGTAAAGTTGGGGCATCTGTCCTCAGCCCACAGGCCTAGAGTCTCTCAGTCACTTTTCTCTGTGTCCTGTAGAATGTCTGGCAGTTTCTTCTGTGAATCAGGAAACTGAAGGACCATTTTGCCTTGCAAAGTTCAGTGGTCACCTTCTATGGGTCCTGCATGTCCAGGTAATACATTTTTTTCAAGCAGCCCAGGCAAGAACAGTTTCTTGCCCAAAAGGCTATTTTTGCCAAGAAGAAGATAAATTTCTTATGGAGTGTCTTCAACACCCTTCTTTTTCTTTGAAATAAATAGGTGCTGCCAGGTGTAGACATGTCTCACTGTCCAGAAAGTCTAAATTTTTAAAACATTTTAAATGCCATATTCTGTAGGTCTTTGAAGTGTTTAAAGATTACCTATCTGTCTGAAATATATCTATATATACCTAGAAAACTAAACTAACATCATTATAAGTTTGATTATCATAGAAGACTAAATATCAATCTGTATTTCTTAATTATCCATTACAATTTAAATGAGTTACATAAACATAATACCTTAAACAAGAGTAGAAATACACACACACACACACACACACACACAAGATCAACTGTAAATTTGTATCAATAAACTAAAATCCATAGCAATGTAAAACATTTTTAAACAAGTTGTTGCTCTTTAGAAGTAGGTTCATTAATCTATCCTTTCATCCTATCATATCTAAACTATCCCTTTTTTTTCTTTAGAAAGAGATTGTATTTATAATCAACCTGCTTTAAATAAAAATATTGGTTTTCCTCTGTCCCACACCAGAGGGCTCTTCTGATATGAGACAGAAGAATCTCTCAAACTTTTTTTTAAAGTAATATGCTTGGGTTTAGAGAAGGAGTGAGCCATTCCAACTCCAAAATCAGCTTGGTATATTTGGGAATTTGGGCGTAGCTTCTCTTACTACTTCTTGCTGGATGAGGGCACTGTATTTTTATGGGGACACAAAGAAAATTTTAGGATTATGGAGTAGTCCATGAGGCTATAGTGATGTGCTAGGTTCTGCCCAACCTTCAGACAGTCCTTGGTATAGAGGAGTGTGGATTGAGAAATAATAGATATGAAGAATATAGATGTAGATGAAGAAAAAGAGAGAGACACAGGATAGCTTTGGGAGGGCTCTGAGTCAATTCCACAGCAGCCCTAAGTTTGTTCCTAATGGGCTTTTATACACCAGCAAGGGGAGAGGAAAAAGGCCCTTTCAAGGTCAAGGTACAAACCACAAACAAGAGTAGATTCCTCCTTAATTCTCAAAACACCTGGTATCCATGACTTATGGCAAAGCATCTTGTAATTAGGCCTTGGTAATTATGCCTTTGGCCAAAACATCCTATTATGCAGCCTTGTGGGCAAAGCAAGCTTGGACTCTCTGACCCTGAGTCAAGATGGAATAAGGTCTCACAATGGAGTTTCTTTGGGCTCCACAGTGGTGCTTCCAACTTTACTTGGTCCTGGATGGCACAGCATGTATTGTGTGGATATTAGAGAAACATTTCCACTGCCGCATTTCTTTACATCCCCAGTTTCTATATCTGATGACTCTCCCTTATGTTAAATGTTCTAGGACAGTGGTTCTCAATCTGTGGGTCATAACCTCCTTTGGAGGCCAAATGACCTTTTTACAGGGGTCATCTACAGCCTTTGGAAAACACAGATATTTGCATTATGATTCATAACAGTAGCAAAATTCCAGTTATGAAGTAGCAACAAAATTAATTTTATGGTTGGGGGTCGCCACAACATGAGGCGCTGTACTAAAGGTCACAGTATTAAGAAGATTGAGAACCACTGTTCTAGGATATGTGCTGCCCACACATTAGGAATGGGGCCAGGGAACAGTAGGGAACCAAAATACTGACACATCACCCTGTAGTCTATTGGCTGCCCAACTACAAAGCACACCTTACTTCACACACTTCTGAAGAAAGTAGAGACAATGCAAAAGCTATTTCTTGTCCTTTCCCAATTGTAGATGGGTTAGGTTCTAGCACATTCTTTTCCAAATCCACCTCCAGCCAGGTGGCACAGCTCACATTGGCCCTCTGAATTCACTCACTGTGGTGTGACGTCACCCACATCATATGTGTTACATAAATGGTGCTATATAAAATACGGAGGTCTGTTGTCTCCTCCTCCTATGTGGTTCTCACATGCCAGAAGCCATATGCTATAGGGCACTGGGATGGTAAAGACATTTCCTGGGCCCAAAAGTGGCTCTCTTGGTGGCACCATAGCAGCTAGGGACTGTAGATTTAGTCCAGAAAGGTCAACCACAGTGATTTTAAATTTCTGCCTCTCTCAGGAAGGAGATCCAGTGTGGTCAGTCAGCTATCACAGACCCATTTGTAAGAGCCTTCTCCCTGTGGGCTCTTTGGAGACATGGGCATCACTTGCCAACTTTATACTCTTTTGCAGCTTTGAGTTCTAGTTCTCTGGGTGAAGTCGAGTCTTCATCCAGTTCTTCTGTGATTCTGCCCTAATAACCTTGACACCTGAAACTTGAACTTCTTTTCAAAATTGAAAATCCAAAATTCTCCTATGTGTAGGAGAGCCATTGCTATTAATACACATCACTCAAATCAATCATTTTTGCTATGATATGAATATTCTTTGATTAATATTACTTGCTCTTTCATTTTTTGACATATACATCTTAATTTTGATATTTGGCAATCAGAAAGAGCCCAGTAATAAAGACATTTATGTGTGTTTCTGTTCACACAGGTAATGTGTATATGTATATGTGTGTGGATTTGCATGCATGTATGCACATGTGGAGGTCAGTTGTCAATATTGAGTGTCTTCCTCAGTGCTTCCCACTTTATCTTTAGAAACAGTATCACTCACTGAACTTGGAGCTCACTGATTGGCTGGTCCGGCTAGCCAGTAAGCTCTGGGGATCCATCTGTCTCTCCTTGACCTCAGCATTGGCTTCCAGAGGATCATTGCCACA